GAAGAGTCGGACACGACTGAGCGACTGAACAAGAACGACAGCGTCATGGCAGGAAGAGACAAAGGCTGAGCATGTCAGATCGGGTGTCTGGGTTTGGGGGACACAGAACATTGTGACCAAGACTGGGGTCTGGGATGGGCACAGCCAGGAGAGAGGCCCCTCCTGCTCCTCGCAAGCTGGCTGTCTGCAGCAGAAGTGCTTCTCACCGGGCTCCCTGTCTTCGGGGCACAGCCGCTCGGGATCTGGGGTCCCTTCCTCTCCTCCGCAGGGAGTGCAGACCCCTGTGGCTCTGTCTTCACAAGGCCCTGGAGGACGGCGCGCGTGGCCGTGTGGCTACAAGTGCGGACATTGTCACTGACCCACCCCCCGCTTCCTACGTGTCCAAATCCTGGTTTTGTTCGCATCAGCAGCATACCCAGGCCTGCGGGATGAATCCCGCCTCCCTGGTGGTCAGGCGCCCTTTCTCCAGATTCTCTCTTGCCTGAGCTCCCTTGCAAGCTCTAGGTGGTCTTTGATTCAGTCCCAGGCAATGAAATACAAGGGGAAGTCTGTAGGGAGGAAGTTAGGGAGACGTTTGGGAGACCGTTTGCTTCTTCATAAAAGGGCCAGACATGAAAGGAGAGCTCTCTCGGGCCCTCTTTCCTCCTTTTTCATGCTGGAATGTAGGCATGGTGTCCAGAGGTGCAGCAGCCATCCTGCAACCACGTGGCCTCAGGTTAACACCGAGGATGATGGGCAAAGATATGGAAAGAACCTGGGTCCTTGATGAGCTCACCAAACTGCCAAGTCACCCTGAAGCCCCTACACCCAGGATTCTTGTTAATTAAGGAATGACTGTGCTTGTGGCTTAGCTGGGTTCTGATACTCGCAGCCAAACACGTCAGGGAGGCAGTGGAGTGTGTCTGGCTCAGTGTGAGCGGGTGTGAACCGCCCTGCATGGTGGTCGTCATCATCTGGCATGTGTGTGCCTGTCGCATACTCACATGGGTATGTGTGGATGCATGATGGATGTGTGAAGTGCTATGTGCACACGTGGCCTCCAGAGTTGAAATGTGGTTCAAGTCCAAGTCTTGTGGCTCGGCACAGCCCTGGGGCAACCCCTAACCTCAAGAGACGCGGCTTCCGTAACTAAACTCAGAGGATGGTGACAGCTGACTGAACCGGAAGTTCACATGTCAGGTGTCAACATGACCCGGTGGCAGGGCCAGAGATCTGGCTCCGCCTGGCAGGTGGGGAAACCGATGCTCCCAGAGACTAAGCAATGTGGCCAAGTCACAAGCTGAGAAGTGGGGAGGCTGGGACTTGAACCAAAGTTTCTGCTTTTCTACATGGCCTCACACAGCACTGGGGGCATTGGAAGGCTACACTCTGCACACACATGTGGTGTGTGTGTACAGTGTGTGTATAGGGTGTGTGTACAGCGGGTGCGTGCAGGAGCATGTAAGCAGGGTGTGTGGGCAGGGGTGTGTGTGCAGGGGTGCATGTGGAGGGGCATGTGTGCAGGGCGTGTGTGCAGTATGTCTGTGCAGGGGCACATGTGCAGCGGTGTGTGTGGAGCAGTGTGTGCATGCAGGCCAGTCGCACAGCCTCCCCCAGACTCCTGGGCGCTGACTGCCCCCAGCTCCCAGGGTGCCAGGGCCTGCCTCTCTCTTCTCCAAAGCAGCATCCACGGCAGCCGCGGCCACAGCCCAGGGGACGAGCCGCCTTGCTCCTGTTTACCACCTGCTGCCGCGCTGCCTGGGCTGGTCCAGGCTGCCACCAGCAGGCGGATTTCCGGCCCCCTCCTCCTCTCCTGCACCCTTGCGGGCCAGCTTTGGTACAGCTGCTTCCCTCTCTTTTGATGCCCAAACCCCCAGACGAGGGGGGCTCCCCAGCCTCTTCCAGCCGGGCCGGCCCAGGGGTTGGGTAGGGACCCCGTGTAACAATGAGCCAGGTGAAGGGCGGCAGCAGCTCAGAGAGACGGTCCAGGCTCCTTGCCCCGCCCGCACCTCTCTGCTTGTCGGAGCAGATCTTTCAGTCTGTCCTGAAGTCAGGGGTCCACTAGGACCTCAGGCTCTGGCCCAGAGGTCGCCTGGTCACTGCAAACTTGCTGGGAAGCCCTCCCACTCTCAGCTGACGGGACCACCTCCTCCCTGCGCTTCTGGTCCTCACCTGTCTCCGCGTCTCTGGTGGGAGAATCCCCCCACGGAGCTCAGGGCAGTCCCCCTTTCTGGGCTCACCCGGACCCTCCGCCCCGCCCTCCCCCAGCGGCAGGCCTCCCTTGCACAGTTTTCTCACAACAAGAGTGCTGTCTTGCTGTCTCCCCCCAGGGAGTCTTTGATCCATCTTGGGCCGCAAGCCAAACAGTCATTAAAAGAAGGCACAGCCAAGGAGAGGAGAAAATTGCTCTTCTGACCGGACAAAGCTAAACGCCGCCACACGCTGAGGCTCTGGCCTTCCCAGGAGCTCGGGGGAGCTTCTCGGGGGGTGGGTGGGGGTGGACGGGGGTGGCAGGGAAGGGTGGGAGCCCAGTCCTGACTGAGTTGAGCAGGGTCCAGCCCCTGGTGTGGAGCGGCTCCGGTGAGGAGGCCTCCGAGGGCCCCGTGGTTCCCGCAGCTCATGGGTGTGTCTGGGGGGACACCAGCCTGCGCCCCTCGCAGCCCAGACGACCCCGAGGCCTGGGAGCAGTGACCCACCCATCACCGCAGAGTAGCGGGGGCAGCCTTGGCTGTTCCCACGTCCCTTGCAGCCCCCGAGACCGTCCCTGGTCTACAGGAGACAGTGCAGAGTAGAGACCTGCTCTCAGAGGCGGTGCTCCCATCTCTCCGGGTCAGCCCCTTGCTGGAGAAGATGAGGCCTGGAGCGGGCTCTCTGGCAGCCCAGGGGCTGAAACACTAGGCTCCTGTTCCTCCCTACATCCTGCCCAAACTAAGTAGTTGGTGCCTTTTTCTTCCCCCATTTTGGCTGCATTCGGCGTCTTAGTTCCTTGCGCAGGGATCGAACCAGTGCCCTCGGGGGCGGAAGCAGTCTTCATCACTGGCCCTCCCTTCAGAGGAAGTCCCCAAAACTAAACAGCTGCACATGGGGCTGTTGACAGAAAGAGATGCGCACCGTTAAGAGTTGAGAGTTGAGTTTTATTTGGGGTAAAATGAGGACTGCAGCCCGGGAGACAGCACCTCAGACAGCTCTGGGAGACTGCTCTACAGAGGCAGGGGTGGGGGGAGGTCAGGATATAAGGTTTAGGTGAAAGGGGAGTTCAGTGCAATCGAGTACTCATTTTACAGAAGTTGTTCTGCCAGTCATGAGGAGCTGATGTCACCGTGGAGGGATTTAGTGCTTCTCTAGAAACGAGCAGATGCGAGGATGAGGATCACGAAATCTGTTCCTGCAAACATCCAGCTGTCTAAAGACCTGCTCCACCACACTCCCTGGGTGCAGAGCACCTCCCTGCAGCCTGGACCCCTCAGCGGGTATTGAAGGTTGCTCCACAGAGGTAGGTGGCAAATGCCTTGTCCGGTTGCTGGCAATGCTCTTGGCAGGTGCCCCCTCGTAGCTGACAGGCCCTGAGTTTTCAGTACATGATCCAGTTGGTTTTTCTAACAAACTGACCGTTTAGGCACCTCTATTACCCTCCCAGTTACAGATGAGTGAGTTGGGATGGCAAGGGACGGTCTGGTACACAGTGGGACTCAGACCCGGGGCATCTGACCCCAGTGTCTGCGGCCTCTGACGGGGGCCGGACAAGCTGATGCAGTCCCCCCTTCGCTGCCCCCCCAGCCCTGGGGCAGTGCGAAGGTGTGAGCTCTCTCTGCAGGGCGCCTGGCGTGTCATGGGCGCCCAGTGGCCGTGGCACGGAACTGAGACCTGGGCAGACATGCCAGCAGGGCGCTGGTGGAGACGCCACGGAGAAGACAGAAGAGGCGGAGGCTAAAGCAGGTCGTCACTGGTCAGGGCGTCCCTGGCGGCTCAGATGGTACAGAACCCGCCTGCAATGCGGGAGACCTGGGTTCAACCCCTGGGTTGAGAAGATCCCCTGGAGAAGGGAATGGCAACCCACTCCAGTATTCTTGCCTGGAGAATCCCCAAGGAGCCTGGGGAGCTGCAGTCCGTGGGGTCACAAGAGACTGAGTGACTAATGCTAATCCTGTGAATAATCCCAAGTGCAGTTTAAGGGTCTGCTGTGGTTATGGGAGGAGCAATCCCAGAACTTGGAGTTTGTCTGCTCAGGAGGAGGGACAGGCCGGGGTCCGTGAGGATGAGGTCAGGACCCTTCTGGGAGTAGACAGCAGGGTGCAGGGGTCCGTCAGGGAGACCCAGCCGGGCAGCGGCAGGAAACCCCATGGGATGAAGGAGGCAGGCTGCAGGTGGATAGCTTCCTCCAGGTGCCGTGTCCCGGCTGGGAGTGACTGAGAGATGCCCAGCTCTTGTTGTGGCTTCTGCTGCCCCCAGCCACAGCCCTCCTTGGCCTCTGGAGCTTCTGCTGAGAGCCTGCCCCCATCACCTGTGCCCCAAGGGAACATCACCCTCCCGGAGGGGAGTCAAGGCTGGACCCTCAGCCTGACACTGCCCCTTCTTGCAGCCACCCCCAGGCCCACACAGCCCCCTGCCCTCCCGACCTCCGTGTGACACCAGATGGGACCAGGCCTCTCCGAGAGAGACCCACCCCTCCACCTGGGACGGGGGACCTGAGCCTGGGTGGGTTGCCAGGGCAACAGCAGCCCCCAGGGAGCAGGCCTGATGGCTGAGCGGAGGCAGGGAGCTGGGTGCTGGGGACTCACAGCCCAGCCTCCTTCATGCTTAGGTGCTCTTAGCGGATGTGTGTGCTTGGGGCATGCCTGGGTGTGCAAGCAGGAGTGTGTAATGTGGTGTGCGTGCCTTGGTGTGTGTCTCTGTGGGCCCAGTAGCCTCGATGCTGTGGGGGAAGGGGGGGAAGGGGAGGGGAGTGGAGGGAAGGAAGGATGCCTTTGCTAGCCCTTCTAGTTGCCGGGGATGCAGTTCCCTGTGTAGATGAAGAGCTCGGTTCACAGCGAGTTCTGCCCGCAGCATCGCGGGGAGAAGGCGCTTCCCCTGGCCTCCCGGCTGCGAGCCCAGGCTCTCCCTCCGAGCCCTCTGCTCCGAATCACACATGTCTCTCTGTCCTGACAGACCATGTGCCAGGCCCTCTTGAGCGGAGCTCCAGGCTCACCGGCCGTCCCTGCTCCTGGGGCGGGTGCGGGGCAGCTGTGTGGAGGCCCCAGGCGGATGGAGCGCCTGTGCAGGCAGAGCCTGGGCCCGCAGGGCTGAGGGTCGGGGAGGTGGTCGGGGAAAGGGGCCTGGGTGCTGGGCTGGACCCCACTAGTCAGCTGAGCACTAGAGGCAGGTGGCGGCTCCCGAGTCCCCAGCGTTCCGCCTGCGGCCCCCCCACCACGGGGGCGGGGCCTGGGCAGCCCCTGACCGCAGCCGCGTCGGAGGCCAGGCCCCTTCCTCACGGGGATTGCGGGGGCAGGGAGAGAGGACAATGCCCCTTCTTCCCAAGAACTCGGTGGGAAGAGCTGGGGGACGGAGTGTGGGTCAGGCTCCCCGCCCCAGCCACTCACCAGCCTCGTGAGCCTGGGTGCATTTCTTATCGCCTCCGCAGCCTTGGGCTTTTCACCTGTAACAGGGCACCCACCAGACCGCGGCAAAGTACCCCAGACGGGAACTGAGGCAGCAGATCTCCATTTTCTCAAAGGTCCAGAGGCTGGATGTCCAAGAGCAGGGTGTCGCAGGGCTGGTCCCGGGGCTCGCAGATGGCCGCCTCCTCCGCGGGTCCTCGGGGTCCTCCCCGGGTCCTCGGGGTCCTCCGTGGGTCCCCAGGGGTCCTCCTCAGGTCCCCAGGGGTCCTCCCCGGGTCCTCGGGGTCCTCCGCGGGTCCTCAGAGGTCTTCCACGGGTCCTCAGGGGTCCTCCGCGCACCCTCGGGGTCCTCCCCGGGTCCCCAGGGGTCCTCTGCAGGTCCTCAGGGGTCCTCCGCGAGTCCTCGGGGTCCTCCCCGGGTCCCCAGGGGTCCTCCATGGGTCCTCAGAGGTCCTCCTCGGGTCCTCGGGGTCCTCCCCGGGTCCTCAGGGGTCCTCCGCGTGGCCTCGGTGTCCTCCGCTGGTCCCCAGGGGTCCTCCGCGTGTACTCGGGGTTCTCCCCGGGTGCCCAGGGGTCCTCCGCGGGTCCTCAGGGGTCCTCCGCGAGTCCTCGGGGTCCTCCCCGGGTCCCCAGGGGTCCTCCATGGGTCCTCAGAGGTCCTCCTCGGGTCCTCGGGGTCCTCCCCGGGTCCTCAGGGGTCCTCCGCGTGGCCTCGGTGTCCTCCGCTGGTCCCCAGGGGTCCTCCGCGTGTACTCGGGGTCCTCCCCAGGTCCTCAGGGGTCCTCCGCGTGGCCTCGGTGTCCTCCGTTGGTCCCCAGGGGTCCTCCGCGCATCCTCGGGGTCCTCCCCGGGTGCCCAGGGGTCCTCCGCGGGTCCTCGGGGTCCTCCCCGGGTCCTCAGGGGTCCTCCGCGCATCCTCGGGGTCCTCCCCGGGTCCCCAAGGGTCCTCTGCGCGTCCTCAGGGGTCCTCCCTGGGTCCTCGGGGTCCTCCGCGGGTCCCCAGGGGTCCTCCGGGCATCCTCGGGGTCCTCCCCGGGTCCCCAGGGGTCCTCCGCGGGTCCTCAGGGGTCCTCCGCGGGTCCTCGGGGTCCTCCCCGGGTCCTCAGGGATCCTCCGCGCGTCCTCAGGGGTCCTTCCCGGGTCCTCGGGGCCCTCCGCGGGTCCTCAGAGGTCCTCCGCGTGTCCTCGGGGTCCTCCCCGGGTCCCCAGGGGTCCTCCGCGGGTCCTCAGGGGTCCTCCGCGGGTCCTCGGGGTCCTCCCCGGGTCCCCAGGGGTCCTCCACGGGTCCTCAGGGTCCTCCCCGGGTCCTCGGGGTCCTCCACGGATCCTCAGGGATCCTCCCCGGGTCCTCAGGATCCTCTGAGCGTCCTCAGGGGTCCTTCCCGGGTCCTCGGGGCCCTCCGCAGGTCCTCAGGGGTCCTCCCCTGGTCCTCGGGGTCCTCCGCGGGTCCCCAGGGGTCCTCCGCGGGTCCTCAGGGGTCCTCCGCGGGTCCTCAGGGTCCTCCCCGGGTCCTCGGGGTCCTCCGCGGGTCCTCAGGGATCCTCCCCGGGTCCTCAGGATCCTCCGCGCGTCCTCAGGGGTCCTTCCCGGGTCCTCGGGGCCCTCCGCGGGTCCTCAGAGGTCCTCCGCGTGTCCTCGGGGTCCTCCCCGGGTCCCCAGGGGTCCTCTGCGGGTCCTCAGGGGTCCTCCGCGGGTCCTCGGGGTCCTCCCCGGGTCCCCAGGGGTCCTCCACGCGTCCTCAGGGGTCCTCCCCGGGTCCTCGGGGTCCTCCCCGGGTCCCCAGGGGTCCTCCGCGCGTCCTCGGGGTCCTCCCCGGGTGCCCAGGGGTCCTCCGCGGGTCCTCAGGGGTCCTCCGCGGGTCCTCGGGGTCCTCCCCGGGTCCCCAGGGGTCCTCCGCGCGTCCTCAGGGGTCCTCCCTGGGTCCTCGGGGTCCTCCGCAGGTCCCCAGGGGTCCTCCTCGGGTCCCCAGGGGTCCTCCGGGCATCTTCGGGGTCCTCCCCGGGTCCCCAGGGGTCCTCCGCGCGTCCTCAGGGGTCCTCCCCGGGTCCTCGGGGTCCTCCCCGGGTCCCCAGGGGTCCTCCGCGCGTCCTCGGGGTCCTCCCCGGGTGCCCAGGGGTCCTCCGCGGGTCCTCAGGGGTCCTCCGCGGGTCCTCGGGGTCCTCCCCGGGTCCTCAGGGGTCCTCCCCGTGTCCCCAGGGGTCCTCCGCGCGTCCTCAGGGGTCCTCCCTGGGTCCTCGGGGTCCTCCGCAGGTCCCCAGGGGTCCTCCTCGGGTCCCCAGGGGTCCTCCGGGCATCTTCGGGGTCCTCCCCGGGTCCCCAGGGGTCCTCCGCGCGTCCTCAGGGGTCCTCCCCGGGTCCTCGGGGTCCTCCCCGGGTCCTCAGGGATCCTCCGCGCGTCCTCAGGGGTCCTTCCCGGGTCCTCGGGGCCCTCCGCGGGTCCTCAGAGGTCCTCCGCACGTCCTCGGGGTCCTCCCTGGGTCCCCAGGGGTCCTCCGCGGGTCCTCAGGGGTCCTCCGCGGGTCCTCGGGGTCCTCCCCGGGTCCTCAGGGATCCTCCACTCGTCCTCAGGGGTCCTTCCCGGGTCCTCGGGGCCCTCCGCGGGTCCTCAGGGGTCCTCCGCGCGTCCTCAGGGTCCTCCCCGGGTCCTCGGGGTCCTCCGCGGGTCCCCAGGGGTCCTCCGCGGGTCCTCAGGGGTCCTCCGCGGGTCCTCGGGGTCCTCCCCGGGTCCTCAGGGATCCTCCACTCGTCCTCAGGGGTCCTTCCCGGGTCCTCGGGGCCCTCCGCGGGTCCTCAGGGGTCCTCCGCGCGTCCTCAGGGTCCTCCCCGGGTCCTCGGGGTCCTCCGCGGGTCCCCAGGGGTCCTCCCCGGGTCCTCGGGGTCATCCGCGGGTCCCCAGGGGTCCTCCTCGGGTCCCCAGGTGTCCTCCCCGGGTCCTCGGGGTCCTCCGCGGGTCCCCAGGGGTCCTCCGCGAGTCCTCGTGGTCCTCCCCGAGTCCCCAGGGGTCCTCCGCGGGTCCTCAGGGGTCCTCCCCGGGTCCTCGGGGTCCTCCCCGGGTCCTCAGGGGTCCTCCGCGCATCCTCGGGGTCCTCCGCGGGTCCCCAGGGGTCCTCCGCGAGTCCTCGGGGTCCTCCCCGTGTCCCCAGGGGTCCTCTGCGGGTCCCCAGGGATCCTCCCCGGGTCCTCGGGGTCCTCCGCGGGTCCCCAGGGGTCCTCCCCGGGTCCTCGGGGTACTCTCCGGGTCCTCGGGGTCCTCTCCGGGTCCTCGGGGTCCTCCGTGGGTCCCCAGGGGTCCTCCGCGAGTCCTCGGGGTCCTCCGCGGGTCCCCAGGGGTCCTCCGCGTGTCCCCAGGAGTCCTCCCCGGGTCCTCAGGGGTCCTCCCCGGGTCCTCGGGGTCCTCCGCGGGTCCCCAGGGTTCGTCCCCGGGTCCTCAGGGTCCTCCGCGGGTCCCCAGGGGTCCTCCGCGGGTCCTCGGGGTCGTCCGCGGGTCCTCCGGGGTCCTCCGCGGGTCCTCGGGGTCCTCCGCGGGTCCCCAGGGGTCCTCCGCGAGTCCTCGGGGTCCTCCCCGTGTCCCCAGGGGTCCTCCGCGGGTCCTCAGGGATCCTCCCCGGGTCCTCAGGATCCTCCGAGCGTCCTCAGGGGTCCTTCCCGGGTCCTCGGGGCCCTCCGGAGGTCCTCAGGGGCCCTCCGCAGGTCCTCAGGGGTCCTCCGCGGGTCCTCGGGGCCCTCCCCGGGTCCTCGGGGCCCTCCGCAGGTCCTCAGGGGCCCTCCGCAGGTCCTCAGGGGTCCTCCGCGGGTCCTCGGGGCCCTCCGCGGGTCCCCAGGGGTCCTCCCCCTGTTGGCTGCTGTCCTCATCTCCTTTCTTACCTTCCGGTCGGGTTGGGCGTGTCCACTCGCACACATATGGCGGTTCCGGTCTTTGAGGCCCTGCCTCTAGATGCAGTCACACCCTCAGGCTCTGGGTTGGGCTTCAGCACAGGAATTTGCGGTGGTTGCTGTTCGGCCGCTAAGGCGTCGGACTCTTCGCGGCTGCGTGGACCGCAGCCCAGCAGGCCTCCCTGTCCCCCACTCTCTCCCGGGTTTGCTTGGGTTCACGTCCATTCGCTCACTGATGCCATCCCACCTTGGGGGGCTATGACTCAGTCCCTGACAGGTGTGATAGGAGCAGCAGCCTCAGAGGTTTGCTGTGAGGATTAACCATCGCGGAGCGTGGGCTGGTCTGGGGTCTTCACACGTTGTATCGGCGACCCTCACAGCCCGGGGGAGCACAGGCCCCGCCCCCGGGGAATGGGGTGGGGTGGGGTCCCAGGGCTTGGAGCGTGGGCTGGGTGGGTCCTTGGCTGGGTGCAGCTTTCTCGAACCTGCCCTGTCCACTCCACTGCAGGAGAGGGCAGGTGTGCACCATTTCCAAGGGCAGTTTCCACACCCTCGGACCAGCGGGCACAGCCCGGCCTTAGTGCGAGTGGGGCACTTGCAAAGCCCTGCACTTCCTGGACGGGGAAACTGAGTCACGGGGAAGCCGTCACTGCAGCAGGGGCTGGGGTGCACTGGGGCTGCGGGCCCCACCTGTGTTTCCCGAGACCCTGGCCGCCTGGCACCGGGGCAGGAGAGGAGGTGGGCCCGGCCTGAGCAAGGGAAGGCTCCCCAGGCCCCGCCTGCAGCCCCACCCCCGGACCCGTCCCGAGCTGCGGCCTCCTGAGCCCGCAGCCCGCTGGGCTGGGCTCCCGAAACCATTCCTAAAAAGGAATCGGGTTTTGGCGGCCCAGGCTATTTTTAGACAATTGTGTTGAAAATTTCCCGGAGTACATGCAGCATCATGCATTTTCTTCTTCAGGAAGAGAGCAGAGAGGGAGCAAGTGGATGCCCCCCTCCGCTGGGAGGGTCCCCGCAGCGCGGAGCCCGGGGCCTCCGGGCAGGGCGGGGGTCCCATCCGCCCCTCCTCCTCCTGGGTTTTCAGGGGGCCAGGGGCCACGATCACCCCAAGTTACAGGTGAGGAGACTGAGGCCATTAGCCCTTGTCCTCATCCTCAGCCTTTACTTTAAAAAAAAAGCTTAAAAATTTTTTCTGTTCCTTTAAAAAAAATAGTTTATCGGAATATAGGCGGTTTACGATGCTGTGTGAGTTCCAGGTACAGCACAGTGACTCCGTCATACACTCACATGCGTCTCTGTTCTTCAGCCTTCTCTCCGCAGAGGCGGGGGTGTTGACTGGCTTCCCTGTGCTGCACAGGAGGTCCTCATTAGTTACTGGTTTATGTGTCACGATGTGCACACGGGGCTTCCCCGGTGGCTCAGCCGTGAAAGAACCCGCCTGCAACGCAGGAGACGTGGGTGTGACCCCTGGGTTGGGAAGGTCCCCTGGAGAAGGAAATGGCAACCCGCTCCAGCATCCTTGCCTGGAGAATCCCAGGGACAGAGGAGCCTGGCGGGATACAGTCCATGGGGTCGCAATAGAGCTGGACTGATTTAGCGACTAAACAGCAGAATCGTGTGTTTACGTCACTTCCGGTCTCCCGATTTACCCCTCCTCCTGCCCCCACCCCGCGTTCCCCACTGGTGACTGCGAGTTTGTTTTTCACATCTGAGAGTCATTTTTTTTTTAACTAAAAAAACTCTTAGAATGATACAAATGAACTTATTTACAAAGCAAAAACAGACTCACAGACTTAGAGAATAAATTTATGTGGCCAGAGGGGAAGGATGGAAGTTTGGGAGGGAAAGGGACACACCGCTGTATGTAAAACTGACGACCAGCAAGGACCTGCTGTATACCACACGGAATTCTGCTCGAGGTTCTGCGACAGCCTGGATGGGCGGGGAGCTTGGGGGAGGAAGGATGCATGTATGTGTGCGGCTGAGTCCCTCCCCTGCTCACCTGAAACTATCACAGCATTGTTGACCAGCTATACTCCCACATACGTTAAAAAAAGCCCAGCTTTATTAGGAGTATAATTGATGCACAGTAAGCCGCACATAATTAAATACTTCAGTTTGATATGATCTACATTTAAACCAACGAGGCCAGCATCACATTTCAGACAGTGAGCACAGCCATCAGTCCTTAGACCCCCGACCCTCCCTGCAAGCCCACCTCCCCCTGCCCCCGTTCTCGGTTCCCTCCTGCTCCCGAAACCCTGCTTTCTGTAACTGACTTGCTTGCATTTTGCAGTGTTTTCTGTACATGGAATCCCATAGTCTGCTCTCATTTTATGACTGGCTTCATCCTCATTCTGTTGAAATACACCCATGTTGTCGTGTGTATCAATAGCCCATTCCTTTTTATTACCCGACGATCTCATTACGGGAATGGACTGCGGTTTGTTCTTCCGTTCATCTGTTGATGGATACTTGAGCTGTCTCCAGTTTGGGGTTATTATGAATAAAGCAGCTCTGGACATTCATGGACAAGTCTTTGTGTGGACAGATATTTCCTTTATGGTAAATACACAAGAGAGGAATTTCTATGTTTAACTTTTAGAGAAACTGCCAAACTATTTTCCAAGGTGGCGGCACTGTCTTACATTTCCACCAGCAATACCCAAGGGCTCCCATTTCCCCACTTTGGAGCCAACACTTGCTCTTGTCTGTCTTCTGGATTACAGACGCCCTAGCGGGTGTGAAGTGGTATCTCGCGGTGACTTTGATTTGCATTTCCCTCATGACTAAGCATGTGGAACATCTTTCCGTGTACTTGTTGGCCCAGATCTCACTTCTTCCTTAAATAAGCATTTAATTTGGGGATAGTTTTAGATTTACTAAAAAGTTGCAAAGATAACATGCTTGTATACACCTCACCCAGTTTCCCCTAATACTAACCCCTTATATCACATGGGATATTTATCACAACTAAGGAACCAGCGTTGCCATATTGCCATTAATCAATCTCTAATTTTATTCAGAGGACACCAATCCGTTACACCGACGCTCCTTTCTTGTACCAGGCTCCTGTCTTGGGACCGACACCATGTTATATTCTCCTATTTCCACAGGCTACTCTGGTTTGGGTCAGGTTCTGTGACTTTCCTTGTTTTCCATGCTTTTGACAGTTTCGAGAAGTATTGCCAGGTATTTTGTAGAAAGTGCTTCAGCTTGGGCTTATCTGATGTTTTCTCATGACTGGGGTGGTGGGTTTCGGGACCAAGAGCCTCCTCTTCCCCTCCTGTTGGGGTGCATACCGTCCACGTGACTAACCACGAGTGATGACCTGATCACTGGGTCAAGGCGCTCCCTCCCAGGTTTCTCCCCACTGTTGTTATTTTCCTCTTTCCAGACTCTGCTCTTTGGAAAGGAGCTGCTGGGTCCAGCCAGCACATGAGTGATGAGCTCCCCGAGACTCACTGAGATTCGAGCGTCTCCGGTGCCAGGCCCTTCACGCCAACTCCTCTAGCCCTCGGCTCCACCACAGTCCCTCTGGGAGAGGCTCTAGTTACCCCTAAACTCAGTGACGATTAGTTACAAAAGATGGTTCATTCAAACCCTTTCTCACGCTTTTAACAGATGAGGAAAGTGAGGCCCGTAGAGAGAGGTGACTCACTGATCACAGAGGTGGCCTCGGGGCCCTGGGCCAGGGCAGAGGTCTAGAAGGGTGCCCTCCCTGGCCCAGAGTAGGCATCTGTCGGTGGATGAGTTGGGCATGTGAGGGTTGAAGGACACAGACCTGCTTGTGACGCGGTCTGTCTGTGAGCAGTGACGAGCCATCAGGACAGGCATGCTACCCGGGTGCCTGCCCATCAGACCCCCAGTCCACCCTGCTGGGAGTCTGCATGCCCCCGACTGGCCATCCAGCAGAGAGGCTGGCTCCAAACAACCCTCCAGGTGCTCAGGACCCCACAGGGAGGAGACACAGTCACAGCCCACCGTGTGAGTATAAACCGGGAGGGCGGTTTATTCACACACATCAAGGGCATCACACATGTTAACAGTTTCGCTCTGGGTCCTTCAGGGAGGCCATGGATGGATCGTGGAGTTGGATCCTGGATGGAACACAGGTTATGCTCTTTCAAGAGTCTCTTTGCTAGCCTGAGTCTTAGTTTTCTGATTTATAAAATGAGGGTGGATTTGAGAAATGCTTTTTTTGGTGAAATGGGTGGTGCTGAGGTCTGGATCAGTCCACAATCAGGATGGATTGGTTAGCAAAATGGTACAGGTGCCTCTCATGTGCCCAGTAGCCCCTAGTCCTGCATACCTAGGACTAAACCTCCATCTAGTTCTGCGTCCAGACGCTGCTGAGGTTTTTGTTCCCTGGTCAGACCGGGGCGGGGTGGGGGGATGGGAAGCTGAATTCTGCTGTCAGAATCCCACTGCATCCGCTCTAGTGGACTCTCACAGGAGATGCCAGAGAATGGGGCCGGCCCGGCCTGACCGGGAGCCTGCTTTGGCCTTCCCGCTGACGGGACACTTCTTGTCACTTGGTGTCCCGCCTCACAGAGAGGTCCCCTGCACCCGATAAAATAATGACCCACCCATCGCTTAGAGCTTGCTCCTAACCACCCACCCATCGCTTAGAGCTTGCTCCCAGCAGTGCCATCTACCCAGTGTTTGTTTCATTTATTTACCCTCTGTTTGCTGTCTGTGTCCCTAATTCCCACCTAGACTGTGAAATCCCACGTCCACAGGAAGTGCTAATAACAGAAGTCACCCCTGCGACTCAGCTCCACAGCAGGCAGGGCGCCCGGGGACCTGGGGGATCTGGGCGGGGGCCTGCCTGCCCGGCAGCTGCACCCTCCCGGGGCCGCTGGGTCAGCAGAGCTGGGGTGAAGCTCCGTCTGGAATGCCCTCCTCCCAGCCACGGTCTTGGGGTGCGGGCTGGGGGGGGCAAGCTTGGCTCTGGCTGGAGAGGATGAGAAACCCACTGCGGCGACAGGCGTGTTAAACGGCACCGCCGACGGGGCACATGCGCCTGCCGGGGGCTGGGCTGCTTTGACACACACCTGCGATCTTGGCAGTGGCCTTGTCCTGCCCATTTGACGGATGAGAAAACTGAGGCTCAGAAGTAGGGACCCCCTCCCCCCAGGGTTCTTCAGAGAGTGGGTGTCCAGGCCCAGATTCCAACCCTGCCCGAGGCCGTGGACATAGGCCTGCCTCCGGCGGCTGCAGGAGGCGAAGGCCGGGGCATCAGCGGTGGCTCTGGGGGCGGCCCTGTGGGCAGGGGCCCAGCCCGAGCCACCGCCCTCCTCAGGCGCGGAGGGGAGGCCGTGAGGTTCCTCTGGCTGCAGACAGTCCTGTGGGGAGGCGGAGACGGAGCCCCGTCCCTCAGCCTGGCCCGCCTCGCCCAGGCGGCATGCTTCCTGGAGGTTCCAGTACAGCTCAGGCCTGGAGGAGGGTGTCACTCCCACGCGAGACAGGCCCTGCGGGACCTTCCCCGGGGGGGATGTGACGGGCGGGGCTGGGACTCCAGCCAGAACTCTGAGGCCCCCGACCAGCCGGAGACAGAGGAGGCAGGGGCGGCCGGCTGGGGCTCCTGCTGCCGGCAGACAGGTGCACGGCACCCCACAAGCTGTGCGCCCCCTCCCCATGGCCGGCGGGGATGGAGTTGGGGGGGAGGCGGGGATGGGGGCCGTCCTGCCAAGACCCCCTTCTGCCGCCCCCTCAGCTAGTACCCGCTTGGCCGGGGGAGCTGGGGGATCCGTGGGCCGGGCCAGGCTGCGGAGGGGTGAGAGTCTGCCCGAGGTGCCCGGACCCGTCAGCATGAGGGCTGACCTCCAGACAGCGGGGCAGGGCCTCCTGCGGGCAAAGGGACGGGCCACCCCAGGACGACCACGTGACCCCCGAGGAGCTCGGGGACCGTCAGGAGGAGTCGGGGCTGCCCTGCAGTCACAGCCGGGGACTCACACGGGCCCCGAGTTTCCCCTGCAGGCAGGGAAGGGCTGGGGCAGAGGTCTCCCCTCCCACTGGGCGCCCTGAGCCCACGCCCTGCGCATCCGGAGAGTGAGCTGGCCCCAAGGTCCTCCCCTTTGAAGACGGCCTCCCGCCCCCCTCCCCGCCCCCCTGCCCCGTCCTCTCCAGCTCAAGGGGAATGCTGAGCCCCTGGCCTCAGGGCCAGGTGCTGGGATTTAGGAACTGCGGCCCCGACAGTCCTGGCTCCAGCCTGGCCAGTGGGCCTCTCCGCTGACGCACAGTGGGCACCTTCTCAGAAGCAGCCACAGCCCGCGGCCTGCTCCCCCTCGCTCTGCAGTGAGCTGCAGGCCTTCCCTCCGCTCTTGACCCCCCGCCAGCCTGGCCTTCCGCCCCTCTCTGCCCAAACAGCTCGCCTCAGCCGGGGCAGCCACGACAAACCTAACCACAGCCTGGCTGGCTTCAACAGCAGAATTGCTCCTTCTCACAGCTCTGGAGGCTGGACGTCAACCATCGGGAGACGGGCAGTTTCGGCCTCTGGTGAGAGGTCTCCTGCTGGCCCCTGACAGCGGCCTCAGCCTATGTGAGCTCTCTGCATCTCTTCTTACGGAGCCACTAACCCTACTGGGTCAGGGGCCCTCCCTTCTGACCTGATTTAACCTTAATTACTTCCTTGGAGGAGCCATCTCCAAATACACACACTGGTGATTAGGGCTTCAACATATTTGGGAGGGGGCACAATTCAATCCGGGGCTTTCCAGGGGGCTCAGTGGTAAAGGACCCACCTGCCAGTGCAGGAGATGCCAGAGATGTGGGTTCCATCCCTGGGTCAGGAAAATCCCTGCGGGAGAAAATGGCAACCCACTCCAGTGTTCTTGCCTGGAGAATCCCGTGGACAGAGGAGCCTGGTGGGTTACAGTCCACGGGGTTGCAAAGAGTCAGATACAGCTGGGAACACACACACACAAGTCAGTCCCTAGCTGGGAGCACACACACACACACACACACACACACACACACGTCAATCCATAGCATAACTCTTGTCCAGATCATTGTTGATGTCTCTGGGGGCAAACCCAAAGGTCAATTCCTCGATGTGCCCCACTGGAACTATGGGGCATTGAGCACAACCAACCAACCACCCTTTCCTCCTTAAAACTGGGTCTTCACTTGGCCTCTGAGTCTCCAGTCTCCTCTGGCGCTAGGAGGTCCCACCCTGGCTTTAGTGTGGGGTCTGCCTTTCCCAACTCTCCCCATGTTGTTTGGGATTGGGGCATGTGACTCAGCCCTGGCTCGACTCATCCTTCACTCACTTGGTCAGGGAACTAGATCCTGCATGCCACATTAAAAGCCTGCATGCCGCAACTAAAAAGACCCCACGTGCTGCAACTCAGATCTGCTGCAAACAAAATAAAAAAGAGAGAGCAGAGGACACTTACGGCTGTCAGAGGGCTTCCTTGTGGCTCAGCTGGTAAACAACACGCCTGTGATGCGGGAGACCTGGGTTCGATCCCTGCGTTGGGAAGGTCCCCTGGAGGAGGGGAAGACTGCCCACCCCAGTGTTCTGGTCTGGAGAATCCCGTGGACTGTGTAGTCCACGGGGCCACAAAGAGCCGGCACGGCTGAGCGCCTTTCGCTTTCAGGGCTGTGAGCGAGTGGATTGCAGGGCTCGAGGTAGAAGCAGGGAAATGCGCAGCGCGTGGGGGTCATGGCGCTGGGAGAGGTGCAGAGACCTGAGATGGGATTTGCGTAGCAATGACAGGGTTCCCTGAACAGTGGGAGGCAGAGTGCGCGGGCGGGGCTGAGGACTGGAGCGGCGTTTAGGAGGAGCCCCCACGCGGGGAGCGGCGAGTCTGGTAATAATTCCCTGTGCTTCTCAGGCTCCCTTCAGGCACAAGCGACAGAAATCGACACTGCTGGCTCTAAGCGAAACAGAGAACATACTGGTCCCAGGCGTGGAAAGGTCTGCGGCTTTAGTTCTCAGTGATGGCCCAGGACCCAGTCTCTCTACCACCCCACCGTTGACTCTGAGCTGGCAGGCCTCTCCCACGCCGCCAAACGGCCACCAGCTGGCCCAAGCTGGCATCTGTACAGGATGTCAAATCCAACAGAAAAAGAGGCTTTTTCCTAACGTTGCCGTAACACAAGTCCTGGAGGGGCCGTCCATTGGCGAAGCTTGGACCAAACATCCCAAACCCAGTTGAGTTCAGTTCAGTTCAGTTGCTCAGTCGTGTCCGACTCTTTGTGACCCCAGGAACCACAGCACGCCAGGCCTCCCTGTCCATCACCATCTCCTGGAGCCTACCGAAACTCATGTTCATCGAGTCGGTGATGCCATCCAACCATCTCATCCTCTGTCGTCCTCTTCTCCTCCTGCCCTCAATCTTTCCCATCATCAGGGTCTTTTCAAATGAGTCAGCTCTTCGCATCAGGTGGCCAAAGTATTGGAGTTTCAGCTTCAACATCAGTCCTTCCAATGAATATTCAGGACTGATTTCCTTTAGGATGGATTGGTTGGATCTCCTCGCAGTCCAAGGGACTCTCAAGAGTCTTCTCCAACACCACAGTTTAAAAGCACCAATTCTTCAGTGCTCAGCTTTGCTTATAGTCCAACTCTCACATCCTTACATGACTACTGGAAAAACCATAGCCTTGACTAGACGGACCTTTGTTGGTAACGTAATGTCTCTGCTTTTTAATATGTTATCTAGGTTGGTCATAACTTTTAATTTCATGGCTGCAGTCACCATCTGCAGTGATTTTGGAGCCCAAAAAATAGTCAGCCACTGTTTCCACTGTTTCCCCATCTATTTGCCTTGAAGTGATGGGACCAGATGCCATGATCTTAGTTTTCTGAATGTTGAGCTTTAAGCCAACTTTTTCACTCTCCTCTTTCACTTTCATCAAGAGGCTCTTTAGTTCTTCTTCACTTTCTGCCGTAAGGGTGGTGTCATCTGCATATCTGAGGTTATTGATATTTCTCCCAGCAATCTTGATTCCAACTTGTGCTTCTTCCAGCCCAGTGTTTCTCATGATGTACTCTGCATATAAGTTAAATAAGCAGGGTGACAATATACAGCCTTGACATACTCCTTTTTCTATTTGGAACTAATCTGTTGTTCCATGTCCATTTCTAACTGTTGCTTCTTAACCTGCATAGATTTCTCAGGAGGTGAGTCAGGTGGTCTGGTATTCCCCTCTCTTTAAGAATTTTTCACAGTTTGTTGTGATCCATACAGTCAAAGGCTTTGGCCTAGTCAATAAAGCAGAAGTAGATGTTTTTCTGGAACTCTCTTGCTTTTTTGATGATCCAGCGGATGTTGGCAATTTGATCTCTGGTTCCTTTGCCTTTTCTAAATCCAGCTTGAACAGTTCACATATTGCTGAAGCCTGGCTTGGAGAATTTTGAGCATTACTTTACTAGTGTGTGAGATGAGTGCAATTGTGTGGTAGTTTGAGCATTCTTTGACAGTTCCTTTCTTTGGGACTGGAATGAAAATGGACTTTTTCCAGTCCTGTGGCCACTGCTGAGTTTTCCAAATTTGCTGACATTTTGAGTGCAGCACTTTCACAGCATCATCTTTCAGGATTTGAAATAGCTTTACTGGAATTCCATCACCTCCACTAGCTTTGTTTGTAGTGATGCTTCCTAAGGCCCACTTGACTTGGCATTCCAGGATGTCTGGCTCTAGGTGAGTGATCACATTATCCTGATTATCTGGGTCATGAAGATCTCTTTTGTACAGTTCTTCTGTGTATTCTTGCCACCTCTTCTTAATATCTTCTGCTTCTGTTAGGTCCTTACCATTTCTGTCCTTTATTGAGCCCATCTTACCATCACTAAATTAGGAGGCTCTACGGTTCTGGATGAAAAGACCGGACCTCTGAGTTCATCCTGAGCCATGTGGATGGAGACTGAGCTCTCCTGAGAGGTGGGATGCTTTGGAGGAGAAGATGCTGGATGGACAGACAGGAGCCATCAGCACGGCCGGTGCTCACAGGACTTTCCAAGGTAAAGTCCTGGCACGGAGCTGGCCTGGGAGAGAGTGGCTGGTATGGAACCTGGACCATTATCCTCAGGGGGGCCCTGATCTCCTGCCTTCTCAGTCCTGATCTGGGTGGGTCTCCCGCCACAGTCCGGCACAGGATCTCAGGCTGGGTGCTCACCCTCCAGCCAGGGCTACCCACTGCCCCACTGGGCACCGCCCTTTCTTGCCAGTGCCTCACACTGCCAGTTCCCTGACTATGACCACCCATGGGAGGCTGCCTGCAGTGGCACTGCTGACATTGGGATGCCTACCTGCCCTGTCTACAGGGCGCTTTTGCCTGCAGTCTCTCCCCAGACATCAGCTGCACCCTCGCCAGCCTGCTCAGTGAGCCAGGGAGGTCATGCCCAGCTTAGACAGGGGGTCTCAAGACTTCAGGGTGTCCCCAGCAATGCGGGACCACCACACAGATGCTCAGCCAACCAGCTCTGGGGGATGAGGGAGGCCTGCTCAACTTCTCTCTGGTTCTTGGTCTCTACTCTTCACTGTCCAATCTGTTGGTTGGAGCCTTCAGCTTCACATTTGGCTCCAGCCCCCTCATAGGCCCTCTCCTTGTGGTGGCAAGAGGGCTGCTGCTGTCCTAGCCTCACAACTCAGGTTCAAGTCCAGTGGGAGAGGGACAGCCTTTTCTTGCAGCTCCCATCCTAACTGGAGCACTTCAGGTCACATGCTCAGTCCTGATCCTCTGTTGGAGGGAACAACTAGATGTTGACTGGCCGGGCCTGAGTCACATGCTCCAATTCCAGGCAACACCGGAAAGGAGAATTCCCCCAGTAACATCAGGGCAGGACCTCCTCGTTCCAAGGGCTGACCCATCCTGGGCAGCCCCCAGGCACCGAAAGCTCCCTGTTCTATGAACTGAGTGTTAGGCTCTCTCTGGTTTTCATGAAAAACACAAGCCGTGGGTCCATTTAAAAATCATTTTATTATTAACATCATCTTTCCATTTAGCCAAGAGTCTGTAATGTATAAGGAATGTCGGTAAATATTCCATTTGAAGCTTCTTTGTACATATTTCCATCGATAAATAAACTCTGAATTCACATAAAAAAGTTAAACTTAAATAACTCATATTTCCTTCTCTTGTAACAGGCATATATTGGCAAAATATAAATATTCTTGGACTCAGGCTTTGTTCTAAGTGAGGACAGTAATTTATCACATGGTACAATTATTGACAACAAAACCAAGAAATTGTCAGCTGGTGTCCTGGCTTGGACTAGTTACTGAGGTGGGAAACAGAAAATTCACATTTGGTTTCTTGGCCAAGGATAGAGCGGGAGTAGTGATGGGGGGGGGAGAGAATAGTTTTCTTTACAGCTCTGATAAAAATAATCTGCTCTGCCACTGAATTTTAACTTTGAATATATTCTTCTACATTTGCGGATTAATTCCATAATTATGTTACTTAAAACTCGGATGACAACTAACAAAATATGGCACGTAATCCATTTTGAACCACGTCAGTAGATTCGAGAACTATCATCGGGCTTGCGGGAACGGCAACAGAAATGCACATGGAGGGCGGTGACTGGTCACACACTCGTCCGGGGCCTCGCGCGGCGAGGAGGCCGGGGCTGCTCGGAGCGCGCGGGGGATGACGGGGAAGGGCAGGGCGCGGGGCATGACGGGGAAGGGCAGGGCGCGGGGCATGACGGGGAAGGGCGCGGCGGGGCCGCTCTGAGCGCGGGGGATGACGGGGAAGGGCAGGGCGCGGGGCATGACGGGGAAGGGCGCGGCGGGGCCGCTCTGAGCGCGGGGGATGACGGTCCGTGGGGCAGCTCAGAGCGCGCGGGGGTGACGAGGAAGCGCGCGGCGCGCGCGGGATGACAGAGAAGGGCGCGGCTGGGCCGCTCAGAGCGCGCGGGGGATGACCGTGAAGGGCACGGCGGGGCTGCTGGCCTCCAGCTCCAGGGCCGTCAGGAAGCACTCGGTGGCCGCCGCGTCGTTGCCCTGAGCCTGCAGGACCTCGCCCAGGCCGTTCCAGACCTCGTGGGCCGTGGAGTTCACCTGCACCGCGTCCCGCAGGATCTTCTCGGCCAGACTGTAGCGGCCCAGCTGGTGGAGGATCAGGGCCTGCAGAGGCAGACAGACAGACAGACAGTCAGAGAGACGACGCTCTGGACTCAGCTGTCCCTGAGCCTCGGCACGCTTCTCGGAGGCAGGCAGGTGTCCCCACCCGGCTGGGCACAATGGACGTTCAAGTTCTTCCTGCGCTCAGGCGGGAGTCAGAAGGATCACTCAAACCATGAACTGTACGAACTCACAGACATTCAGCCATTTGTGAACAGCAACAAAAAATGGTTATTTCAAAAGGTTCACCCAGGAATGCACCATGTGGAATGGCCATGGTATGTCTGTGCTGACTCATGGGTCACGGCTGACACCCGCCCGCACAGAGGGGTGCTTGCCATCTTTAGGGTTTTTTTTTACCTCAAGAAAAGTCACAACAAACAGAACAGAAATGTCAGTTGCTCACAGTCCCTACCCTGGCCGCACCCTGATCTCACTGTCCCCTCCAGGCTCGGCGCCCTGCACAGCTGTCACTTCAGTTTTAATCAGAGCACACGTGTTGGTCCCCAAATATTCCATCCTAATCATGTTTCCAGGTTGGGCGTCTCCACAACTGACGTGTCCGCACTCTTTCATCCAACAGACACTCCCATTTACTCAAGGACTCCCTCGCGGCGAGACACCCAGGCTTCCCAGTGTCAAGGGACTGAACAACCCCGCCCCACTTCGCAGGGGCAGCAGGCTGTGGGGGTTGCCTCATTGCACTTCCGGGCTGAACGGGGGGCAGAGCCCTCCTCGCCGTTCTCTGTTTTCGGGTGTTACAGGCCATCTTGGACTGCGCTGCTTGAGACGAACTGCAGCGTCACTTTGAGTCCCTCTGGCGGTGCAGCGGGGCTGCAGCCGTCCCGGTTTGTTCAAGGCTGCACCTCACCAGGGGCCATGGGCAGAGCCGGGCTGTGCTGCCAGAGGGTTGGCTGCGGCCCGAGCCAGTGCCCTGAGCTAACACTGCAGGGGCTTCGGCCTCCGAGATGAGGTCCTGGAGCGGGTACGGGCGCCCTCGGCAGGCAGTGTCCAGGCCCCCAGGGCTGTGGGCTGGGTAGTTCTCAGAAAGCACCCTGACCGCCCAGAACCGTCGGCACCCCTGAGCACCCGACGCGGGGCTGCGAGGCTGACCCAGGAGCCTGTGCTCAGAGGGTGGCAGCCAGGACACCCGCGGCCTCAGCAACGAGGGTGGCGCCTCGGTCCTGGGTGGGCCGGTTCCTGAGTGAGGAGGAGGAGGAGGGTTCGGGAGGAGGGAGGCTGTCCTCCCTGGGGCAGAGAACAGTAACCCAGGGTTAGGTCTCCTCGCAGAGGGGAGAACTGCGGGGAAAACAGCGCGTGTTCCCTTTCTTAGTAGCATCATCATATCTAATGACGTCACAGGGGCCTCCCTGCGGTCTCGGACACTAAAGAGGTCGTCTGCGGTGCGGGAGACCTGGGTTTGAGCCTGGGTTGGGAAGACCCCCTGGGGGAGGAAATGGCAGCCCACTGCAGTGTTCTGGTCTGGAGAACCCCATGGACAGAGGAGCCTGGTGGGCTACAGTCCATGGGGTCACAGAGAGTTGGACACGACGGAGCGGCCAAGCACAGCACGGCAGAGCAGACAGGCTCAGAAAGGCCCGCGTCTCGCCCGAGGGCCCAGGGCCCAGGAGTGTGGGCTCAGGCCCCAGTGCTGTCCTCCCTGCTCAGCTTCTCCACGCTCGCCGCTGGCACTTTGAGAGACCGGCCCCCGGGCACCAGCCCAGCTCCATCCGAGCAGAGGGGCACCCACTGTGCTGAGCGTCCCTCCCAGCCCCTCCTTCCCGCAGCTGTTAGGGGGTGGCTCCCCTCCAGGGCACAGCCTTTCTCCCGTTTCTCTGCTGTTCGGGAGCACCCTGTGTATTCGCTCAAGGACCGGGGGCCTCCTTGCCTCTATCTGGGGGCCACAGGCCGGCGGTGACCTTGAGGCTCGGGGTGGCTGCAGACACCGAAGGACTGGCGGTCCTGTTAGTCAGAAAGCAGACCTGTGAGACGAGACTCAGGAGCACCGGGACCTTGGTCCACGGGGCCTGGAGGTGACTGCTCCCAGCAGCGACGCTCTGACCCCACCCTGCTGGAGTGGGGACAAGGACACCAGGCCACTAGCCGGGAATCTTGTTTCAAAAGCGGAGGCTGCTGGACCCTGGGGGCTCCAGGGGCACATGGCAGGGGCAGGGCACCCCTCCGAAAGTGCCTGCAGGAACCAGCCGTGGCCTAGTCCGACCCACTGTCCTCAGGGCTCGCCAGCTAAGGGCCTTGTGATTCTCTAGGGTTCCTAACGGCTTGGGAATTTCCAGCCCATTCCTGGACTTACATTTCAAACGTAGGAACGAGCTCCCATTTCCAGATGACCTTGAAGCTTCCTGAGCAATCTGTTTAGTGGAATTAATTCCTAAAGCCGGGGCAGCTTGGGGAGGCATCACAGACTTGCCAGGGACTGCCAGCTCACGCTTGGCGAGGGAATGAAAAATCGGTCTCTCCCTGGTCCCCTAGTGAGCCAAGGGTGGCTCAGAGATCAGGCACATGGTGAGGGCAACCAGAGCACGCCTCGGCCGCGGCTGGGTCACTGCTAGGGGCCAGCGTTGCTGGCAGGTTGGCCAGAGGTGGGCTGGCACCTGGATACACCTGGCTGTCTGGACCGACGCAGGAGCCCCTCTGCGTCGTGAGGGGCTTCCATGTGCCCCTGTGCCCTGACGCCCCCTTTATTCTTCAGGTCCCGCTTCCTCTCTTCTCCAAAGATCAAGGCTTCACCCTGAGGCTAGCACTCCACTGTGCTCACCCCCAGCTGCGCCCCGCTTTCTCCGGGAACAGGCCTCTTGGCTCATCCAGGCTGATCCATCAGCCCAGGTATTTCTGCAGGACACAGCGTCCACCCCCCTTCCACCTCCCCAACCTTGGTCAGTCCCATCCGGCCCCTCTTGCTGGAGCTCTAGTCCATCTGCCTGAAGCCTTGACAAGCACAAAGTCCAGGCCACACCACCCCTTAGGCAGCGCTGTGTTTGCGTGCATGCATGTATGTGTATATGCTAAGTCACTTCATTCATGTCTTTGTGACGTTATGAACTGTAGCCTGCCAGGCTCCTCTGTCCATGGGATTCTCCAGGCAAGGATACTGCAGTGGATTGCCAGGCTCTCCTCCAGGGGATCTTTCTGACTTGAGGGATCAAACCCACGTCTCTCATGTCTTCTGCACTGGCAGGCGGGTTCTTTACCACTGGTGCCGCCTGGGAAGCCGTTAGGCAGCTCTAGCCAGCAGCATATTGAAAAGCAGAGACATTACTTTACCAACAAAGGTCCATCTAGTCAAAGCTATGGTTTCTCCAGTAGTCATGTACGGATGTGAGAGCTGGACCATAAAGAAAGCTGAGCACCGAAGAATTGATGCTTTTTTTTTTTTTTTTTTTTTAGAATTGATGCTTTTGAACTGTGGTATTGTAGAAGACTCTTGAGAGTCCCTTGGACAACAAGGAGATTCAACCAGTCCATCCTAGAGGAAATCAGTCCTGAACATTCATTGGAAGGACTGATGCTGAAGCTAAAACTCCTAATACTTTGACCACCTCATGAGAAGAATTGACTTATTGGAAAAGACCCTGATGCTGGGAGATTGAAGGTGGGAGGAGAAGGGGACGACAGAGGATGAGATGGTTGGATGGCATCACCGACTCGATGGTCATGAGTTTGAGTAAACTCTGGGAGTTGGTGATGGACAGGGTGGCCTGGCATGCTGCAGTCCAAGGGGTCGCAAAGAGTTGGACACAACTGAGTGACTAAACTGACTGACTGAGCCAGTGACATTTAGCTCCCACCTCCAGCCCTCAGCTGAGCAGGAGACAGAGAATTCGATGACTGACATAATTCATTACCTTAACAAGCAACCCTTGCCCCCATCACAATCACAGAGACTCACTGAGTGACCGCCCAAACCCCAGCTGTGCTCTGGGACACAGATATGGGCTAGAAGCCATCCTGCTCCCGAAGCTGGGGAGCCGGTGGCAGCCTCAGTGTGACCGAGCTGTGTGCCCGGCACTGGGCTCTGCCTCAGCCGCCGGAAGACCCCACTTCACCCCACTGTCTGCACATCAGGGCTGCGGCGGACAAGCTGGCTTCTGCCCGAGACGCCTCTGCTGGCGTAAGTGGCGGAGCTAAGATGCGGTCGCCGCGGCCGTGCCCCCGATGCTGGGCCCCCGCTCCTCCTCTGAGGGAAGACATGCGAACGACCTGTGCCTCTGCCAGCCCTGCCGATTCCGGGCCCCCGGAGACGGGGGCCTGCTGGGGCTGGCCTCCCGAGCAGACAGGAGCCCCCGAGGAGGCGACTCGCAGTCTCTCCCTTCAGGCACAAGTGAACGCAGCTTGCTAAGCCTGCAATTATTATAATCAGGTGTTTTGTACAAAGAAGACCTTGGTGAGGCACCACACTGGAAGTGAGGGATTAAATTAAACCTGTTCTTTCAAAGGAGACAAAACGGACTTGGCGGGTTTGAGGATGATCAGCGTCTTCCTCACTCACGGCTTTTATGTGCATATTGAGACTGCTGCCCAGGGACGGAGCCCCTTGCTGCTTGTGGGGGCACCGTGCAAGGACCCTGGCTCTGGGGGGCGCCTCAGTCCACGCTTAGGACAAAAGCCCCTTGGAGATCTTCTTTTTTAAATTTAAAAAATGTATTTATTTTTCCTTTTTTTGGCTGCCCCATGCAGCCTGTGGGATCTTCGTCACCCGACCAGGGATCGCAATGGTGCCCCCTGCGTTGGAAGCACAGAGTCTTAACCGTCAGGCCCCCAGGGAAGAAGTCCTGCCTCTTGAAGGTTTTAGATGTCACCGAGGGGCTCTGCCCAAGTGCCAAGCCAGCGCTTCGCTTGGGAGTGCGCTGGGCGTCCTGACACTGGCCCTGCGGGACTGCCGCGGGGGGCTCCTGAGCCGGGGGGACCCAGCGGTGGCGGCGGAGCATGTGGAGCCTGAGAGGGCGGAGGCAGGCCACAGCACGGGCTCGGGCGCCTTGCTCGGG